TGGGATCGGATCATTGTGATCCATAGGGTTTTCATTGGCTGATTTTTGGAAATAGATTGCCAGGCCTTTCCTCCTAAGTCCATCTTACTCTGGAAGCTCCAATGAAACCCGTTAAGTATCACAGCAACATGCAATCCTCCACTGATAGACAGGTAGTAGCTGTGCATGAGGTACACTGGCCAGAAATCAAACCCAGGTCTCCAGCATGGAAGGTGAGAATTCTACCACCGAACCACTGCTGCCCTTGGTTCTGCTTACTGCCTTCCTTATCCAGATTTCTTGGTTTCACCACTTCCCTACCACTTGTGTTCCTGCTTCTCTGAGGGTTTTACACTCTCCCCCTTGCACACTTGAGGGTTTTCAAACACCCTAAGAAAGATCTGACTGGGGGACCACTCACTATTCAGTATTTGGAGCATCTGTTGGGCAAAGCTCTAACACCATGTCAGAGGCCACTGGTCAGCCTATAGATGGCTTCTTTGGGTTCAGCTGGAGATCCCTATAACCAGGGTGGTGGGATTATATTGTTTGCCAGTGATCCATTGCTACTGCAATAATGCTTTGTATAACAAAACCAAAGTACAAAAGCCAGTGGCTGAAAACAATAAGCATTTATTTTGACTCTTGAGTCTGAGGATCAGTTGGATGATTCTTCTGGGCTAACCTGAGCTTGGCTGATCTCTCCTGGGTTTGCCCATGCATATGCTCTAAGCTTGTGGGTGGGCTGGGGGCTGGCTGATCTAGAATGGCCTCAGCTGGAACAGCTTGCCTTGGTTCCACATGGTCTCTCATCCACAACAGACCAGTGTAAGCTTGATCTCATGGTGAAGACAGGGGTCTAGAGCTGTGCTTGAGGTCTAGGCTCTGAACTGGCACACTGCCACCCTGACATTGGCAAAAGCAAGTCACAAGGCCAGCCCATATTCAAGGAATGGGGCAATAGACCCCAACTCTGATTGGGAGCTACAAGGTCACAAAGAAAGGGACATGGAAACAGGGAAGAGAAGAATTGGGTTCCGTTTTGTAATCACTCTATCATGTGGTGATACAAAGCTTGGTGAACACAGGTACAGAACCAGTTCTGGCTCCTTTCTCAAAAGGGCACTGTGGATATGGCAGACCCTCAGGGCATCCTGTCAAGGAATTTAGGGGGAAAAAAAAGTGGGTGGGAGAGACAGGGGAATTTACTTCAAACAACACTGCTTTGGTCACTGTGAAATTCTAAGACTTGCCTTCCTGCTATTTTGACAGCAATTTAGGACATATTTCTGCAAACTGGTTATTCTTTAATATATAAACACGTGCCAGTTGATTGCTTGGTTATTAAATACAGTTATTACTGAACTTATGATTTCTCCCCTCCTCCTAAAACAAAAAACCCCAGAAACACAAAACAAAACCCTTGGCCTATGGCAGGCCCAGCGCCCCAGAAGGAAATGTACCACAGACCTCCCATCCCTCTGGCCTCTGAACTAGGGAATGGTTTTGAGTAATCTAGCTGAATAATGGCTTTGAGTAATCTTCCATCCTCTGACCTAAGAACCCAGCCTCCATTTACAGTATTATTCCCATGGGAAAATGTACTCCAAATTCCAACCAGCTGATGTGCACATTAATTTTCACTCTGGACGTTAGGGAGGACCAGAATGTGTTCTGTTGTAGCTCAGTCTTTTGATGTTGTTGTTTTTGTTTGCTGCCATTAAGTTGGCCCCCAACTCATGGCAACCCCATGCACAAAGGAAGGAAATGCTGCCCATTCCTGCGCCGTTCGCCTGATCATTTGTGAACTGGAATGTTGTGATCCATAAGGTTTTTATTGGCTGACTTTTTGGAAGTAGATTGCCAGGCCTTTCTTCCTAGTCTGTCTTAATCTTGAAGTGCCAGTGAGACCTGTTTAGCATAACAACAGGCAAGCCTCCACTGACAGATGGGTGGTGGCTGTGCATGAAGTGCACTGGCTGGGAATTGAACCCTGGTCTCAAGCACGGTAGGTGAGAATTCTACCACTGACCCACCACTGCCCCCATTAAGTCCTGTCCCCTGTCCCCTTCTTCATCTCCCTACCTCCCCTATACATACACACTCATCTCTCACATGGTACCTCTTCTGTGAAGCCCCAACCAGGTGTTCTCTCTCCTTCCCTTGAGCGCCTTGGGTCCTTGGATCTGGCTTACAGTAGTAACCTTGTTTTGCCCGGGTTCTAGAGAGTCATGTGAGAGTCCTGACCCTCTTATAGAACATTAAGATTCTTGAGGGCAGGAACTAGTATCTCCTCATCTTGGTATCCTTCCAGGAAGAGTACGAGGGATATAACTTTTCTGAAGCACCTACTATGTGCCGCACATGCTTTCTCACATACTTTCTTTTACTTATCCCGCGGCTCCTAGCCGAGGACCTGGCACATACTAGATGCTCAGTAAATAATTCAGTTGATTGACAGTCTCCTGCTCTGACAACCTCCATGCAGCGCCCTGTGTCTCAGTCCTCTCCTGCCCACTCGTGCACGCTCTCCCAACCTCCCTAACTCACCGGTGCTGCCCAAAGCTGCCCTTGCCACCCTCGGGGCACGTGGCAGGACTGGCTCCCTGCGGAACCGTCGTCTGGTGTCTGAGGGAAAGCCAGCCCCCTCCTCCCCACCTCCCACCCCCAGCAGATGGGACACAGTGAGGTTGCTGGCTCCCCTCTCCAACAAGAGTGGGAACAGACTGGCTCCCCGGGACTCATGATGTGAGAGCATGTGAGCTGGGTAGAAAGCTCAGTCCTCAAACTCAGGTGCACATGAGGTTTAACTTTACTTTTCATAAATCAACTATTCTGCTAAACTGTGGGGAGCTTAAGCCTGGTTCTTGGAGATCCATTCCCTACTCCATCCACACCCCATCGCTGGGCCCAGGTCCCAGATCTTAGGCTGGGCCAAGGCATCTGTCATCAGACAGATGTGCACGTGGTTACTGCGGAGATGTCCGTAATCTCAGCATAGAGATCACGCCCCAGGTCCAGGAACTCTGCGAATTGCAGCTAGCAAGGCCCCCACCTAGACAGATCTGCTGCCATCCTTCTCTGGGGTCCTGTGTGTGACCTCTGGGGGGCAGCAAGGACCCAGGTAAGGTCAGCTCCAATTCTAAGGTTCTTTATTGTGTGATTACCTGCCAGCTGCCAGCCTCCATGCTGTCTCAGCCCCTGAGGGCCTGGGAGAGGTGGGCCCAGCTGGTGGAGGCAGCACCACTCCTGGTCAGCACAGCAGGCTGAGCACAGAGCTGCTTTCCCTAGCAGGGCACTGAGCCTGGCCGTGACTCTGCCCCTCACTTGCTTTGTTTTCTCCTTAGTGGCTTCCTAGGACGCCTACCCAGAAGCCCTAACAGAGGCACAAAGCTTCACCAAGGTCTTACAGCCACTGAGCGGCCAAGACAGGATTCCAAACCAGGCAGTCAGGCTTCTAACCAGTACACTAAAAGCTACTGAGTAGATCCAGATGTCAAGGGAGGTTCCAGAAGTCCTGATGCCTCAGTGCCATTAGGCAAGTCATGCTGATGGGCTGAGACACAGTCATAATACATAGATGATAAATAAATCATTAAAAAGTGGAATTCAAGCCGAAACTTACAATAAAATCAGTTCTTTCTGTTCCATTGCAAACCACCCCAAAACTTAGTAACTTAAAACCACAAAACTCATATTTGCCCATGATTCTGCAACGTGGGCAGCTTGACAGGGACAGCTCATCTGTTCCACGTGGCATCAGCTGGGGCCGCTTGACAGAGGCTGGAGGATCCAGTTCCAGGATGGGGCGCTCACACGGCTGGAAGCTGATGCAGGCTGTCTTCGTTACCTGTTGTTAGCTGCCATCAAGTCGATTCTGACTCACAGCGACCCCATGTGGACAGAGGAGAATTGCTCCATAGGGTTCAAGGCTGTGACCTTTCGGAGCAGATCGCCAGGCCTGTCTTCTGAGGCACCTCTGGGTGGGTTCAAACCACCAAACTTTTGGCTAGTAGTTGAGTACTTAACTGTTAGCGCCTCCCAGGACTCCTTCTCTGTGCCAAACCTGCTCTTTTTATGTCACAAAAGTGATTAGGTTTAAGATACAACCTATATTGATATGGTCTTATTATTCCCAAATAGGATCACATCCACATGTTATAGGGGTTAGGATTCCAACACATATTTTGGGGTGACACAATTCAATCCATAACACCAGCTGAACTGGCCCAGCTGCCCTGTGACGCCTGGGAGGGAACTGCCCCCACTGTGCCCACTGGGACGGAAAGCTGTGGCCAGAGACTGAAGCAGACACAGGGGAGGGCTGGAATGGAGGGAGGGGTCGCAGCACCATTTATTGTCCCAAGAAAGCACACACACCTGACACACACCTGAGGGCCACTCCCCAAGTGGGGAAAAATGAGAAGAAAACACAGGCTCTTTGGAATCAAGAGAGAAGGGGCAATAAGGGAGGGGAATGTCCCGATTTCGAATAGGAACCTAGGCACTCCCTTCTAGCCACAGCTTCTCTGAGGGGCTGATTTGGGCCAGCAGATTAGCAGAGGGGTAGGAGGGGTGGGGAGCTGCATGGCCCGAAGCCCCCTCCTTCCCTGAGGCTGAGTCTGAAGCCACAAAGTGGAAGGAAAGGCCAGCTCAGCCCTGACTCCCTGAGGCACCGTGGACAGGTCACAGCCTCCTCTGAGCAACAGCATGCCCAGGGCAGGGAGAGGGCCAGACTCAGTGATGACAGGGGCCTTTTAAAAAGCCCCAAAAGGGCAAATGTCCTCGAGGAGGGGGCAGGAGGATTCCTGGAGGGCAAGAGACTTGGGGGTATCCACTGAGCAAAGGGAGGGCTTGGATTCTGTTGGGTTTACAAAAAATAGTAATATTTTTAAAATAGTTTAAGTTGCGAAGTATAAAAACAATACTAAAATCGCCCTAACCCTCAAGGGAAGACGAACCATTCAATAAATACACAGCCGGTGAGGGACTGGGCAGGTGCCGGGCTGGCGCCCCGGGTTCTACCGCTGGCGGTAGCAGTAGACCCCATACTTGCGGCTCTGCGGGTCTGGGAAGCCAAAGCTTCGGACACCAGGCTCAGTGGGCCCGCAGTTGCGGCGAGGATGAGCCACTGGGTAGCGGACACTGCCATCTGCCAGCCAGCCAGCGTCACAGCGGTCCAGGCCCCGGAACTTCCAGGCGGCGAAGAGCTGGCCCACCTTGGCGATCTGGGCCCCGTCCTCCTGGCAGGCTGTCTTTGCCTCTGTCAGGGTCAGCTTCTCAGGGTGCTCCAGGTAGTATACCCGCCCTACGGGGAAAGGGGGATGTGAGTGCTAGGTGGCCAGGGGCACAGCAGGGCTGCAGTAATGCCAGCTTGTCTGGACGTCCCCCACCAGCCCCCAAAGATCTGACACCTGTGTGAGTCCAGGGAGCCATCACGTTGTGGGAACATGCAGTGCATGCTCTGGGGGCGCCTTCCCAGGCATTATCCCCTTTGGAGAGCTCCACCCCACCCACCACAGGTTGGGGGCCTCCATCACCCCTCCCTAACTGCACCCTGGGTGGGCACCCATCCAGGCTGGACCAATCAGAATCGCACCCATCAATCATTTATGGAGTACCTACTATGCATCAGGAGTCCCAGGGGGCACAAACGATTAAGTACTCAGCTACTAACTGAAAGCTTGGTGGTTTGAACCCACCCAGAGGCTCTTTAGAAGACAGGCCTGGAGATCTTCCTCTGAAAGGTCACAGCCTTGAAAACCCCATGGAGCAGTTCTACTCTGTACACACCGGGTCACCGTGAGTCAGCATCGACTCAAGGGCAACTAACAACTACTAGGTCCCACACTCTTTTTGAAGCGCTTGGGATACGGCGCTGAACCAATTTTTTTTTTACTTACCTGTCTTTCCCTGAAATGAGTTGCTTTTTGAGGACAGATGGTGTTTTGTTTGTGTATGGTGCCCCAGAGCCTAATCTAGGCCCCAGCACGCAGTAGGTACTCAGGAAATGTTTGATGGATGAATAAGCCAATGATTAGCATGAAGCATCAGCAGCAAAGCACTCAAAGCTCAGACAGACATCACTTCAAGACCCACCTGGCCCTCCAGGGGAGCCCTTGTGGCTCAGTGGTTAAAAACTCGGCTGCTAATCAAAAGGTCGGTAGTTCGATTCCACCAGCTGCTCCTTGGCAACTCTACGGGGTGGTTCTACCCTGTCCTATAGGGTCGCTGTGAGTCAGAATCAACTCGACGGCAACACATTTAGTGCTCCAGGCCTCCAGGTGAGGGGCCAGAAGGGTGGGCTGAGGGTCTAAGCTCCCTGAAACGCCACCACCAGACCCTGGGTGGGTGCTCGGCCGCTCCACTCACCCTTCAGGGCAGCGGCGAAGCAGAACACGTCATAGCGGTGCAGGCGGCGGTGCCGCGGGCCGTAGCTTCGCACGCCGGGTGCCAGGCCCAGGCCGCCGCAGGGCTGTCGGGGCAGCATAATGGGGTACTGCACCGAGGCGTCCTGCAGCCAGCCCGCATTGCACCAGTCCAGGCCCTCCTCCCAGGCCCGAAAGAGCTGCTCAAAGGAAGCCAGAACCGCATCCTGCTCCTCACAGGCCAGCTGGGCGTCATGGAAGTTGAGCTGGTAGCGCCCCTGGCGGGGCTGGTAGGGAAAGACCACGCCTGAGGAGAGAGGAAAGAGGAGCTTGGAGGGGTGGGCAGGAGCTGAGAGGGTGGGAGACCCCAGTGCCCTCCTATCTGCACTGGGATATGTGCTGTTTCATCACACGCACACACACGTGTGCACACACACGCACACCCACGCTGCCCCTCAGTAAAACTGCAATTTCCTGTCCATTCTCAGAGTTCTCCAAATCCAAGGCAGAGCCCATGTCTGGCTTACACCCTCTCCCAGAAGTAGGCTGGCACATACTCAGAAACATTTATTCCATTTTTAAGGTAATTAGTTCATCAGCTTGTCAATGTCCCAACTATAGAGTTGGAACACGGCCTAATTCACAGGGCTGTTGCAAGGACCCCATGAGGAAGGGCCGTCATCTGCAGAATCTCAGCAACGCTCTCAATAGCTGAGACCTGACCATCAATGTTATTATTAGGGTGGAAGCTTCTTAAGGGCCTGTGAGAAACTTGAGCATGTGACAGATGATTATTCAGGGGAAGGAGAGGCCCTAAAAGCTGTGGGAAGAGGAGGGCTGGTATAGGGCCCGTAAGTAAAAGGAACCTGAGGGATGGAGGTCCTGGGGCAGGGGACTCCCCTCCTGGTGGCCAGGGTCTGCTAGGGGCCACAGGCTCCCCTCAAACTTCACTGTTCATGGTTGAAATTTTACTAAATTAATAAACAAATAAATAAACTTTATATAGAAAAAAGTTTTGCGCTCTGCCGTTTATTGAGCTAGACACTCGGGGCACATCTTACCCTCATCTCTTCTGAGGGAGTAAAGAAGGAACTACTGTTAGTCCCCGTCTTATACGTGAGAACCGAGGCTCAGGCAGGATGAGGCATTTGCCCAGGTGCCACAGCTAAGACAGGTAAACCAAAAAAAACAAACCTGTTGCTGTCGAGTCAATTCTGACTCGTAGCAACTCTATAAAACAGAGCAGAACTGCCCCATAGGGTTTCCAAGGAGCGGCCGGTGGATTCGAACTGCCAACCTTTTGGTTAGCAGCCAAGCTCTTAACCACTGCACGTCCACATCCAGGGCTCCACAAGACAGGTAAAGATGGGTTCAATCCCAGGTCATCTAACCCAGAAGCTTTGGATTTGTCCCTGGTCCGACCTGGCTCTCGAACAAGTAGGAGAGAGATGGGAACACACAGCCTGACCTAGAGGCAGAAAAGGCAAAAGTAACTTAGAGACCTCAAACTGGAGCCCACAGACAAGATCTGGCTTGCGAGGTCTGGCTGGTTTGGACAGCACCATGTTTTCTAAAATATAGGAGATTTTTACATAAATATCCAGAGATTTCACATAAAAAAATATAAGCTTCTCTAGTCAAATCAGATAATCTGGCAGCACTGGGCCTGCATTCTGGCGAAGCATCATTGGCTGAGCCTGAGTGGAGAGGTTCCCTTTGAATGGGGCATGGGCTTAGCAGTGTGCCCCAGTCCCCATCACTCCCTATTACTCACACTGCCTCATTCACTTGTGTTGCCTGCAAACCCTGCATGAATCTTTATCCTGTCTCTAAAACAGCTGTGTGACCAGCTCCCACTGCCCTCTCTGAATGGGATATGAGAGGGAGTAGAGGGTAGGAGATTCTTAAGCCAGACTGGTTCAAAGCCCAGCTTTTCCATTTACAAACTGTGTGACCTTAGGTAAATTACTTTACCTCTCTGTGCCTCAGTGTCCTCATCTGTAAAATGGGGGTGATAATAGTAGCTTCCTCCATAGAGTTGTTTTGGGGGTTAAGCGTGTGAACCTGTCCAAGGCTCAAAGGTCTTGATGCTCTTTCAGGGTCCTCTCCTCCCCACCCCCAGGTGCCAGCATCACCTAACCCCAGTCAGAGCCTCACCCCGCAGCTCCAGCTCCACCAGGCCACTCTCATCTTCCAGCCCATCAATGACCTCGCAGCGGTAGCGCCCATAGTCCTCCAGCTGCAAGTCCCGGATCTCCAGTGAGACTTCACGCTCCCCGTCCTGCCGCAAGTGGACCCGGCCTTGGTAGTCCCCGAAGGAGCGATGCTTCAGCCCGATGGCCACAAGCACATCCTTCTCTGGAGCCCCGTTCTCCGACAGCTTCCACCATTTGATGCGCACAGGCCTTAGGGAGGCCAGGGCTGGCTCGTAGTGGTAGTGACAGGGTAGGGTCACATTGGCCCCTCGGTGGGTGAACAGGGTCTCCTCGGGCGTCTCCACCACCAGCTTTACTCCGTTGAAGAGGCCTAGGGGGAGAGGCAGGGTGCAGATGGGGAACAGCTGCAGCATATCTGTACCCCTGCAAGGACCGCCCCACCTTTATCCCCAGCTCTCTCTAGGCTCAGGTGTGGTAGATTGCAAAAATGGACATAATACTCCACCCCTCTGCAATATGACTTTGTAGCTCCTCCCACCAAGAGGTGGAATTTATTTTCCCTCCCCCTTGAGTCGGTACTGGCCTTGCCACTTCCTTGGACCAACTGAATGTGATAGAAGTGATGTTCCTGTTCTGAGCCTAGGCCTCAGAAGGCCTTGCCGCCTCCACTTTTTCTCTTGGAACCTTGCCAGCTGCCATGAGAACAAGCCTGGGCTAGCCTGCTGCAGGATGAGAGACTACATGGAGCAAAGAGAGCCGCCCCAGTTGAAGCCAACCTAGACCAGCCATCCCTCAGCTGAGCTGCCAAATTACTGCAGGTGCATAAATGAGCATAGCCAAAATCAGAACAACCACCCAGCTGAGCCCAGCCCAAAATGCTGACTGACAGAATCATGAGCTAAATAAATGATTGTCGTCTTAAGCCACTGAGTTTTAAGGTGGTTTGTTACGCATCAAAAGCTAAACGATAGTTTCACAGTTCCTCAAAAAGTTAAACATAGAATCATCATATGATCCAGAAATTCTACTCCTAGGTATATACCCAAAAGATTTGAAAGTAGGGACTCAAACAAAAACATGTTACAAATGTTCACAGCAGCATTATTCACAATAGCCGAAAGTAGAAACAACCCAAACGTCCAACAACAGAGGAACAAATAAACAAAATGTGGTCTATTCATACAACATAATATTATTCAGCCATAAAAAGGAGTGAAGTCAGTACCTGCTACAACGTGGATGAACCTTGAGAACTTTATGCTAAGTGAAATAAGCCAATCACAAAAGGACAAATATTATGATTCCATTTATATGAAATATCCAAAATAGGTAAATCCGTGAAGATAGAAAGTAGATTAGTGGTTGTCAGAGGCTAGGGGATGGGGAGGTAAGGAATGATTGCTTAATGGATACAGGGTTTTCTTTTGGGGTGACAAAAATGTTTTGAAACTAGATAGAGGAGGTAGTTGCACAATAACATGAATGTCCTAAATGCCACTGAATTGTGCACTTTAAAATGGTTGATTTTATGTTATGTGAATTTCACCTCAATTGAAAAAATAGTTAATTTCAGAAGCTAACTGGAATAGCAGGCAACAACATGAGCATCTCCACATGAGGTGGGTGGCTAGGACCAGCAGCCATGGCCTAGATGCCCCCAGAGTCTCTTTCCCTACCATCCTGGTCCGGGGGAGCACAGCCTCCCCTTCACTCTCTGGTCCAACTGTCCACCATGATTCTTCCCAAACTCCTAGTAGCACTGGTGAGCAGGGGCCAGAACTTCTAGAGGAGACTATGCTAAGGGCTCAGGGGTAACAAACACAGAGCATAAGATGAAACAAAAGAACCAAGTTTACGGATCAAGGTGGACTCATCTTTAACCCTCTCTAGGGGTCACAGGAGCCCTGGTGGTGCAGTGGTTAAGCACTTGGCTGCTAACCCAAAGCTCAGTGGTTCAAACCCACCAGCCTCTCTGCAAGAGAAAGATGTGGCAGTCTGCTTCTGTAACAATTACAGCCTTAGAAACCCTATGGGGCAGTTCTACTCCGTCCGATAGGGTCGCTATGCATCAGAATCGATTCAACAGCAATAGGTAGGGGCCTTGCTCCCAGCGTGGTGCAAACAGCTTGAGCTTGGCTACTAACCAAAAGGTTGGCAGTTCAAATTCACCCAGCAGTGCTGTAGAAGAAAGTCCTGGTCATCTACTTCTGTAAGATTACAGCCATTGAAAACACTATGGAGCTTAGTTCTACTCTGAAACATGTGAGGTTTGCTATGAATCAGAATCAACTCCACAGCAACTAAGTTTTTTTTGTTTGTTTTGGGTTTTTTTTGGGGGGGGGGGATTTTTTTAGGAATCTCACTGCCTTTTTCTCTTGGGTCTGGACTTCAAGACAAGCATGAGGTATGCAAGGGAAGAGGTAGTCTTGGGGGTAAGCCAGGAGGTAGACAGAGAGGGTCCCTGTAGAGGATCTCATGCTGAAAAAGGTTCTGTAGTGCAGCGGTTCTCAAAGTGTGGCCCCTGCACCAGCAGCTTCAGCATCACTGGGAACTGACTACAAATGTAAATTCTTGGGTTTCACCCCAAAACCAAAAAAACAAACCGAACTTGTTGCCATGGAGTTGATTCCACCTGAATCTGAAACTCTGGGGTGGGACCCAGCACTCTGTGCTCTAATAAGCCCTCCAGGTGACCCTGATGCTCACTCTCATTAGAGAATTCCTGCTGTGGAAAGATAGCACTGCAGAGGTTGGAGATAAAAAAACCCTGGAGTCAGGCAATCTAGGTTTGAATCTTGGCGCCACCATTTCACAGCTCTGTAATCTAATCAATCTTCAGTTTCCTCATTTAGTGATTAAGGGCTACAGCTGCTAACCAAAAGGTCAGCAGTTCGAATCCACCAGGCGCTCCTTGGAAACCCTATGGGGCAGTTCTACTCTGTCCTATAGGGTCATTATGAGTCAGAATCGACTCAACACAACGGGTTTGTTTGTTTGTTTTTTTGGTTTACAGTCCCTGTGGTGATGCTCAAATAAGATGAGGCAGAACACCTGGAACACAGAAAAGGCCCAATAGACGTGAGCCAGGACTATTAATTAGTGGAGATTTCCTTTGTTTTCCCCTAACACCCTTTGTTATTGTCGTTGTGTGCTGTCAAGTTGATTCCGACACATAGCGACCCTACAGGACAGAGTAGAACTGCCCCATAGGGTTTCCAAGGCTGTAATCTTTACAGAAGCAGATCGCCAGGTCTTTTCTCCCATGGAGCAGCTGGCGGGTTCAAATTGCTGACCTTTCGGTTAACAGTTAAGAGATTAACCAATGCACCACCAGGGCTCCTTAACTCCCTTTAGTGTCCCCTGTAAAAAGAGCAGAACAGACACAGAGACACACACGGGGGAAGATGCCATGTGAAGACAGACACACATCTACAAGGCCAGGAACGCCAAAGATTGCTGGCAACTGTTAGAAGCTAAAGTAGAGAAAGAAAGACCTCGCCCTATAGCCACACCCCGAATTTGGATTTTTAGCCTCCTGATCTATGAGAAAATAAATTTCTGTTCTTTAAAGCCGTCCATTTGTGGTATATTTTTGTTGTTGTTACAGTAGCACTAGGTAACTAAGACAGCTCGGCTCTAATACCCAGGTATTCAATCAAACGGTAATCTAGCTGTTGGCGTGAAGGTATTTTGTAGACATGGTTAACATCAACAAACAGGTGTCTTTAAGTAAAGGAGATTACCCTCGATGATGTGAGCAGGCCTCATCCAATCAGTAGCATCCACTCCTGCCTGAGCTTCCAGCTGTGGGTCTGCCCTACAGATTTCAGATTTGCGAGCCCCCACAATCATGAACAAATTCCTTAAAATAAATCTCATTTTACATATGGGTGCGTGTGTGTGTGTGTGTGTGCCTGACCCAAGCCATGGTGTTTTCAATCGCCTCATATGCATGTGAAAGCTGAACGATGAGTAAGGAAGACCAAAGAATTGGCACCTTTGAATTGTGGTGTTGGCGAAGAATATTGAATATACCATGGACTGCCAAAAGAACGAACAAATCTGTCTTGGAAGAAGTGCAACCAGAATGCTCCTTAGAAGCAAGGATGGCAAGATTACGTCTTACATATTTTGGACATGTTATCGGGGGTATCAGTCCCTGGAGAAGGACATCATGCTTGGTAAAGTAGAGGGTCAGTGAAAAAGAGGAAGACGCTCAACAAGATGGATTGACACAGTGGCTGCAGCAATGGGCTCAAGCATAACAACGAATGTGAGGATGGCACAGGACTGGGCAGTGTTTTGTTCTTTTGTACACAGGGTCGCTATGGTTGGAATCGACTCGACAGCACCTAACACCACCACCAACATATATATACGTAAATATATTTGTATATATATTTAAATATACATATACACACATTTGTTTATATTTACACATACATATCTGGTACATACATATATACACATGTATATATGTATATATATTTATTTATATGTACACATACATATCTATGTGTATATGTATACATACGTATACACACATACATACACTGTATATATGTATATATATTTATATGTACACATACATATCTATGTGTATATATACATACACACATACATATACATGTATGTATATATATTTATATTTACATGCACATATCTATGTATATATACACACACATACACATATACATACACATGTATATGTATTTACACATACATGTCTATGCATATATATATATATATATACACACTCATACACACACACAAATATGCATATTTACATATTGATTCTGCTTCTCTGAAGAACCCTGATTGATACGGACCCCAAACCCTCTTTCTACCCAGAAGACCAAAAGAGGTCACATTTAAATCTTGAAAAATTCCAGGACTTTTGAGAAAGTATAGAAAGCGCAAGCGATTGTCCTTAAATAAATTTGGCTCTGGGTCTGACGAGGCAGTCCACCACAAGGGCCTAGATGGCAAAGGGGCTGCTGACTTTGCACCCCACCCCCATCCCAGCCTGAACCCTGCATATCACAGCAGAAGGCAGGGAGGAGGCCGCCCACCTTCGCTGTGGCCGTGGCCCAGGCCCCAGCTGTTGGGGCCGTTGGAGTAGTAGAAGCCATTGTAGAAGGGCAGTCCAGGGGCACAGGGCAGCAGGAGCAGCAGCACGAGCAGCAGCGGGCTCATCCTGTCACGGACGGCTGCAGCGCCAGTGTGTCCTGCGCAAGGCTAGGGGCCTGGGCAAGCTGGAAAAGGAGGAAAACACACCAATTAGAGCAGCCCGCTGTAGAGGGCCCAGGAGCCTCTGTTCCATCACCCACTCACTCCCCCACTCAACAGTCTTTTATGGAGAGTTACTACATGCCAGGCTAGGTCCCGGGGTGGCATGAACGGTTTGCACTCAACTACTAACCAAAAGGTTGGCGGTTCAAACCCACCCAGAGCAGTGCCATGCAAGAAAGGCCTGGTGATCTGCTCTCATAAAGATTACAGCTAAGAAAGCCCTATAGAGCAGTTCTACTCAGTAACGCATGGAGTTGAAATGAGTTGGAATTGACTCCACAGAAACAGGTCACACTCTCTCAGACCCATTATCTGCCCTTCTCTGCTGCGCATTGGTCCCTGGGGTCAACCTCCTGGGCCCCTGGGCTCTCTGGCTTCCAACAGGACACGCCTGACAGGCAGGGGCCTTTCTATGGAAAATAGCATCCAGGGCAATTAGTGTTAAATTGCTGAATGATCTCTCACAGCTGGAGACGGAAATTGTCATGGCCAATAGAAACGGCTCGTTGGCACCCCACCTCAAGCAGCACCCAGGGCACGCCCCTACCTGGTACACCTTAGCTATGCCGACAGGAGATGGACGGGAGGGAAGAGAGAAGACGGTATTTCTTCCCAGCTCGCTGCCTGCTCCAGAGCCTCTGAGTAGCGTTGCCTCTGCAGCACCTTTGGCCCTTGAGGACACAGCTCCTGCTCTCACGGCTCCTGTAACTCTACTTCCTCTTTCTTCCCCTCCAGGTCTGGGGGTGGTGACTGCTGTGGCTTGTCTTCAGGTCCCCCAACTCCCTTGCTTTTTCCCTTCATCCTGCCCTCCAGAAGCAGCCCCTTCATTAAAGTCTGTTTATGGGAACCAAAACCAAAACGAAACCAAACCCGCTGCCATTGAGTCGATTCCGACTCATAGCGACCCTATAGGACAGAGTAGAACTGCCCCACAGGGTTTCCAAGGACGGCCTGGTGGATTCGAGCTGCCGACCTTTTGGTTAGCAGCCAAGCTCTTAACCACTACACTACCAGGAACCAGCTGAGGCGAATTCGGCTTGCTGCCAGGACCCTGGCTGACACCAGGGAGAGGAGGAAAGAGGGCTCAGCAGGACCCGTGTTCAGGTGCCCTTGGGTGTCGGGCCCAGAAGTTTGTCCTCTGTCCCAAAGGCCCTGGGTGCCAATGATGGCTTTAAGCAGAGGGCCACAGAATCAGACACACATCCTAGAAACATCCCTCCAGAGGCTGCGTGTAAGGTGGGTCGTGGGGCCGCACGAAGAAAACAGCCATTTGCAACTATAACGATTATATGCAGCAACGTATAAAATGCTTAGGGTGTCATTTAAGATGGACAAAGCAGAATGTAAAATTGCTACTGTGCTGTGATTGCTAGCATGCGGCCTTATGAATGCCCGCGTACAGGAGCTAGGGGAGGAAACACCAAGACAGAGAGGCAGGGAGGGAGGGAGGGGGAGAAGAAGGAAGAGGAGGAAGGGAAGAAGGAAAAAAGGGAGGAAGGGAAGGAGGGAGGAAGAGAGAAAAAGGAAGGGAGGGAGGGAGGAAGGATGGCTGGAAGGAACGAAGGTCCTCGTAGGAGTTACTTTTCTCTCCCTTCCTTGAGGCTCCACATTTAGAACCAGGAGTGAAGTGGAGACAGGACTGAGAAGCTTGTCGAGGCTGAGCTGGATGTCCCGGGTTCCACCCATCCTTGAGCACCCAAAGCCCAAATCCTGTCACACCCGGTGCCTCCTCGAGGGGAGGGCCCCTAGCCTCTGCCTGCAGTGGTCCCAGCCTCTTCCAGCAGCTCATCCGGAATAGATGCTCCCCCGTGAGAAAGGGCTTTCCCCCAGATGAGCAAATGCAAGTGTTTCTGCACAAAGCGACAGTTGTCTCCCTGAAAAAATGCATATTTTTTCAAAATCATCATTAAAAAATAACAGGATTAGGGAGAAAATAAGGTTGGGACAGACAACGGAAAACATGCAACTTTGTAACCAGAGTGCTAACAAAAACTAAAATGATCCTAATAGGAAACACCAGCCCTATGAAAGCGCCCTGAAGTCCACTGATGTCCTCCATCAGCCCTTTGCAGCCTCCACCTTGGGGGCAAGCGCCCCCTCCTACAGGACGTAGGTCCTGGGGGCATTTGATGCCACTGGAGACCAGATGTATCAAAATTAAACATCGGATCCAGGGTGAAGCCACCTTCATCAATCTTTTTTTTTTTTTAAACACAGGGGAAATGTCTTTGCAACTTCTTCATCTGGAGTTCTAGTTTTATCAGAACACCCTGTTTTGTAGAATGTGCTCTTAACCTGCTAAACTGAGGTTCAGAAATGCAAAATCGTTTACCTAAGGTTCCTCAGGTAATAGGTGAAGGAGCTGGGACTTGACCACATTCATTCAACAAATGTCTATCACGCATCTACCATATGCCAGATGAAGCAGGGGACAGGTGCTCCTTTAGACAGGATGGAGCAAGGTCACACAGTGAAGGTGTGAGCCTTGGTCATCATGGGGGAACAGCATTCCAGGGAGAGGGAACAGCAAGTGAAGCTTTTGGCAGGAAGAGCCTGGAGGCCAGTGAGGCTGGAGCCCAAGGAGGGTGGGGAAGAGTGGCGGAGAGAGGGTGAGGGAGGGTGGCAGGAAGTGAGGTCCAAGGGGGGACCAAGAGTTCCATGATGTAGCACCTTGGACTTTATTCTAAGAAGTGAAGACACTAAAGAGTTCCCAGCAAAGGAGTCATATGAATCTTATTTCCATTCTAAAAGCATCATTCTGGCTTCTTCCAATCTCATATCAAATGCATGCCTTCACCCTGGTTCCTTATTTCCAAGCTAAGAAGAACCCTAGGTCTCACCGTCACTTTCTGTACAACTGGCTCCAATCTGGGCACCCACCTTGGTCTACTCTCTGATTTTAAAGCCACCTCAGATACAGGGGTGTGGTCCAGTCAACACCCCTCCCTGCTGGATGCTAACCCTGCAGTCACGTAACCTTGGAATGGGTGGGGGGACGCCAAGCAAAACAAAATGGGTTCTGAAGGAAAGATCGGGCTTGTGTCCAAGAGCTACAGCTCAGGCGGGCCTGGGCTGTGCTTTTCCAGCCCTCTCTGAGAGGACGAGGCACAAAAAAGCGAGGTTTCCAGTTAGACTCACTGATTGGATCTGGGCTCTGCCATCTGCTAGCTGGGTGCCCCTGACAAGTCATTTGACCTCTCTGAACTGAAATTTCCTTATGTCCAGAAAAGATTAAGGGGGGATGCTTGGAGCCTGAGGACAAGAACATTCCTGAATGCTAAGGTTAAAGCATAGAGCAGAGTCCTGAGTAGCAGATCGGAGTGGCAAATACTGCTTAGTCACTGCCCTACCTCTGCCCCATCCATGACCACTCCTGCTAAGGGGAGCAATGGACAGCCCCCACTCTCCTACCCTGGCCACCCCAGCCACCTGCCCCTCAGGACCACCACTGAGCTCCCAGCTGGAAGACCCAGTCACTTCAGCAGTAGGTAGCTTCCCCAGTCAGCTGGAGCCTTGCCTGGGCACCCAGAACTGAGCTTGGCGTTAGAGATGGATACACCTGCATCCTGCTTAGTGACCTTGGACAAGTTACTCAACTTCTCTGTGCCTTCATTTCCTCATCTGTAAAATAAGGATTACAGTAGTACCTTCCCATAGGGCTGTGGTAAGGATTATATAAAAAGAATTATATCCAGCCCCTGACACATAGCAGGTGCTTAACCGACAGTAGCTAAGATATACTGGCAGAAGAACATAAGTGGCTAAGATGCCACACTCTAGAATCATATTGGCTGCCTGGATTCAGGGCTGGCTCCATCCACTTACTAACTGTCACTGGAGAAGTCACTAAACCTCTCTCGGCCTCTCTGTTTCCTTGTCTGTAAAATGGAGGTCACAACAATACCAACCAGAAAACATTTTTGTGAAGAATACGCCTGGTAGGAGCCAAGCACTCAAAAAATACTAGCTATTATTGCTATTCGTAACAGTTTACAGGGTGAAATCTCACATCTCAGTGGATCTTGCTCCTCTCTCATTGCCTAGGAGTGAGGGCAGGCACAATTGTCATCTCTTCAGTTAAGGAAACTGAGGCCAAGGGCATGTGTAGGTGAGTGAATTACCCAAGGCTTTACCTTTGGTAGATAATTGTCATGGACTGAATTGTGTCCCCCCAAAATGTCTGTCGACTTGGCTGGGTCATGATTCCTAGTATTGTATGATTGTGTAATCTGATGTGATTTCCTTATGTGTTGTAAAATCTATCATTATGGTGAGGTTATATGTGATCTCTTTATGTGCTGTAAATTCTATCACTATGATGAGGTTATACTGATGAGGTTTACAAGATTAGTGTCTTAATCCAATCTCTTTTGGGATATAAAATAGATAAACGAGCAGAGACACACTGGAAACTCATACCATCAGAAAGCAGTGCCAGGAGCAGAGCGCATCCTTTGGACCTGAGGTTCCTGTGCTAAGATGCTCCCAGACCAAAGAAAGACTGATGACAAGGACCTTCCTCCAGAGCCGACAGAGAGAGAGAGAGCCTTTTCCTGGAGGTTATGCCCTGAATTTGGACTTGTAGCCTACTGGACTGTGAAGAGAATAAATTTCTCTTTGTTAAAACCATCTACTTGTGGTATTTCTGTTAGAGCAGCACTAGATGACTAAGACCATAATAAAGCACATCAGCTGCCGTTGAATAGACTCCAACTCATGGCGACCCCATTTGTGTCAGAGTAGAACTGTGCTCCACAGGGTTTTCAATGGCTGATTTTTCAGAAGTAGCTCACCAGGACTTTCTTCCGAGGCACCTCTGGGTGCATTCAAACTGCCAACCCTTCAGTTAGTAGCCGGCTGTTTAACTGTTTCCTCTACCCAGGGCCTCCTCTTTGGTAAATTTAGTCCACTGTTTTTGGTAAACCAGGGCGTTCTAATGGGCCCCCCTCTCTATAAATGCTCCTCTCCCATTCACCTCCTCCCCCCAAGATGTGACTGCTTCAGCTCAGAGGCACTCCCTTCACGGATCATCCAGCTGCTCCCCAGCCAGTGGTCCCCAGCCCGCATCTGCACCAACTCCTCCCTTCGGGCCCAGCCACCACTTGTCTCAGAACCCCTCCACGCACCAGAACAATAAGCCAAGTTCTGACTTGGAGGAGAGGTGGGTGCCTCACCCCGCCACCTCCCACCTCTGCACTTCCCCACCAGACTCACATCCTCACTAGGCGAGTTGTTGAGTACAAGTCCCTCAGACACCAGCAGAGGGCAGCATTGCCCTCCAGGTCTCCACCAGCCCGGCTCCCGGCGAGGAATTTGACATCTGTGCCCCTGTTTAAACAAGGCTTATGAGCGCCTTTGAAACTGGCGGCCCCCGGAAAGTGGAAGCCGGAGGTGTTTCCTACCAGCATTCCCAGCCCGCTGACCCGTACAAGGCCGCGGGAGAGGGGCCAGGGCGCCTCCCAGTCACCAGCAGAGGCACTGCCGAGGGTCAGCGCTGGACACCGCGCGGTGCAGACAGGGTCGGAAGCTGCCCGTGGCCACCCTGTGAGCTGGTGGCCGGGCTGAGTCCAAATGCCCCGCGCTGTTTCCTTCCTGGCCGCTCATGAGCCCTAAATTTCTCCCTGAGCGACCCCATCTCCCAACCAGGGCTTTACCCTCCACCCTCCCTACCTCTTCTGGGTCTTCTCTCCCTAGGGCAGACACCCCGGTGAGCCAATGCCTGGAGCCGACTGGCATCCATTGCTTTGGCCCTGGGGCGGCCAAAGAAGGCCTGGGCTAGGCAGGGAGGGAGGCAAGGAAGCGCAGGTCCGCCCGCCCGCCGACCCTCCCAGGGGGATCATTCAGGCAGATCCCCGGGGGCAGCGCCCCACGCCGCGCGCAGAGCTGGAGGCAGCAATTTCGACCGGGTTGGGACGAGACGGGAAGGAGGCGGGAGGGGGGCCCTGGCGGGAAGAGGGCTGGAGCTGGGCGGTGGTCTCGGAGGCCACCGGGTTCGCCCGGAACGTGCCTCCTCGCGGCGCGTACGCGAGTCGCGCGCCAGTCGGCCCGCGCCCGGGCGCTGCTTCCACTCCACTGTGCCCGGGGCGTTCCCCGCTGGTGAGCACAGCTAGCTCGCTGGGCACCCCCCTTGGGAGGGGGCGCCCCCGCTGGAGACCCAAAATGGGGAGGGAGGAACCCGGCTGCAGAGGTCCCCAGCAGCCTGGCTAGCCCCGAGCCACCTACCGTCCCCGGGCGGCTCCTCGACGGCTCAAGCGCTCGGGGACTCGGGCTGCCCGGGTCCGAGGCAGCAGGCGGATTTGGGGATCTTGAATGACCAGAAAGGAAGCGGCTCGGGACAAACCCCCGCGCTCCCGCCAGGCCAGCCCCTTAAAGGAACACACGCCCCTTTCCCTCCCAAGGGGTGGGCCCAAAGGGAGGAGTTGCTGCAAACGCAGGCAGTCTCCAGTCTTGGCTGGGGACCACCCGGCTGGGGAGCAGCTGGGTGATCCGTAAAGGGAGAGCCCCGGATTTGAAGCAGTCACATCTTGGAAGAAGAGGTGAATGGGGGGTGGGAGAGGAGAGTTTGTAGACAGGGACCCATTAGAACGCCCTGGTTTACCAAAAACAGTGGGACTAACAGCGGGATCCCCTCTCTAGTGCTCTGCAGGTGAACATGGCTGCCCCCTTCCAGAGAGGGAGGGGTGAGATTTCTGGATGCCTTCCCCTCCCCCATAAGAAGCAAGGGGCTTGGGGACATACCCCTGCCCCTGAGTTAGGCCATCATGAAATCACCAGCCAGACCAACAGTGCCAAGCACATAGTCCATGCTGCCCCCAGTAAGTGGAGTTTCCGTGAGTGGCCTGGGGGAATTGAAGGCCCAGCACAGCCATCAGGGTGGCTGCCTCCCAGAATGGCTGTTTGGACAAGGTGTTCTCTTCCCTGGGAGCCCTGGCCTGGCCAGCCTTGTTGTTCTCAGAAGAAAAACCTAAGGAGGCCCTTCAGCTTTGCTGGAAGATGAGCCATGGGATCTCCAAGCCCAGAGCTTCTTCCCAAACACACCTCCAGACAGCTGTGTGAGTGCCTAGCAAACAAACAAACCAATTGCTATGGAGTCCATTCTTATTCATGGAGACCCATGTGCTGCAGAGTAGAACTGCGCTCCACTGGGGTTTCAAGGCTGTAACCTTTCAGAAGCAGCTCACCAGGCCTTCCTTCTGAGGCACCTCTGGGTGGGTTCCAACTGCCGACTTTTCAGTTAATAGTCGAGCACTTAACTGTCTGTCTGACCCAGGGACTGTGTGTGTGTGTGTGTGTGTGTGTGTGTGTGTGTGTGTGTGTGCAGTTGGCAGCAAACAGGAGCAGAGTTAGCAGAGCTAGGGTGGACTAGAGGGTAGATGCCAGGCTTGACAGGCAAAAGGGCACCAGTGGCAGTGCCTCTGCAGGGATGAGACATGTCTGACCATACGCGCAGGATGGATTGGAAGGGAAGTAAACAGGACACAGCACCAATCAGGAAACTCTACAAGCTTCTCTAACAAGCACGGCCAGGCGTTCTGCAGCCTCTGCTGGGCCAGGCTTTGCACCAGTGCTTGTGTGCATTATCTGCCATAATGCCATGGAGTCGTCCTATTCTTTCCATTTTATAGATGAGGGAACTGAGGCCCAGAGAGGTCGTCTGACTTGAGACTTTGAGCTGCTAATCACTCCACTATATTTAAACCAGGAACCGAATGGAGACTGGAGTTCCGGGAGAGGCAGGGTCAACAGGCCCCAGCGCTGACCCCAGGGAAGCTCGGTTTTGTTACAGTGGGGGTTGGGTTCTCCACGCTGGCTCTCAGGACTGCAGTCAGAATACAAAAGCAACTATGTGGAGCTGATGGTGAAAGCCGTGGATGCAGAGACCGTCCAGGGAGAGAAGCCCAGGAAAGATGGGCCAGGAGGGTGGGGGGTGAAGAGACTCCGGATAGCATCACAGGGTTCCAGGAGTGGAACCTTCTAAAAGGCCACACATGGCCAACCCTTCCAAGGCTACAAAGATGAGATGGGGAGTGGACTGGGAGTGGCTTTAGTGATTCCAGCATCACCTTGGGTCTCCTGGGCCAGGTGGGGGCCTTCTGACCACGGCCCACCAGCCCGAAAGGTCAGTGGTCCAATGAGAGTGGTCTACAGAAAATACGCAATGTAGCGAGAAGGGGAAAGTTGATCGATGGGAGTGGAGCTCAGGCCTGACTCCCCTGGACTCTCAGTTGCCGCTTCTGCAGAGCAGGGCTCCTGGATTCCAGCAAGGCTCAAGCTACAGTTACTGGGGAGGCAGAACCATCCCAGAGCCAGAGAAGCTGGGGAGAGATGCCTCTCCTGCTGTCTGCTAGTCCCAAGGGAGACTAGATCTGGAGTTGGGGTAGGGAATGCTCCAGAAGGAAGTTCTGACACCAGCAACCACCAGGAATGAAGCCAAACCCAATCCACCAGCTCCAGGGAGAGCTCAGAGACAAGGCTGAGTGAGCCTGGGGACCCCCAGGGACAGGAACCCCCACACCCCTATTTCAAAGGCCTGTGCCTTTTATTCTGTCTCTGCCCAGCCACGAAGCCCTGGCAACAGCAGCCCTCAGGAAAGAGCCACTTCCAGACTGGTTTCCCTGACGAGGTTCCAGCAAACCCTCACCCTCCCTCCCGGCAGCCCAGAGGCATATCCCATTGTGGCTCCCAAAGTTTGGTCCTGAAAATTCACCCTGTATCCCAAACCTCCACTACTAGGGTGGCTCCATAAGCCCCTTTCCCAGCTAGTCAGTCCCTCCTCTATCGGCCAGCCCCCTTCCCAGATTCCCAGGGCGCTGGCCTGCTCCGCCTCACCTACTGGCCACTTCCCGGTGGGCCCCCATAGGGGAGGGCAGAGCTGTCCTCCAGCCCTGGAGTGAACATGCCAGTCATCTCCCAGTGTGCTCACTTGGCAGAGCCTCGGGCCCCTCCTCCCCACCCCACACTGCCCCCCACACCAGAACCTCCTGGGAGCAGCCCAGGTGCATTCTGGTTCCAATAGTTTCTCCAGCCCACTGCTCCAGTGGCAGAGAAAATGGAAACTGCTGAAGGGGAAAACCAGCAGCTTGTCTTCCTGACAGGGAAGGGGGCAAAGCAGGACAAGGCGTTGGCGAGACAGCCTCTGTGCCAGGCACTCCCCAGGCCCCTGACCGCACTGAGGAGTGGGGCAGCCGCTCTGGGCCCCCGAACCCGATGGGAATGCAGGGGCCACTGAGGGGAAGAGGACACGCCTCCAGGACTTGGAAGTCTGGGCCTTCCAGTAAAAAAACCAGTTGCCGTGGAGTCGACTCCAACTCATGGTGACTCCATGTGTGTCAGAGTAGAACTGCACTCCAGAAGGTTTTCACTGGCTGATTTTTCAGAAGTAGATGGCCTGGTCTTTCTTCCGAGGCACCTCTGGGTGGGGTCGAACTGCCAACCTTTCCAGGAGCAGCCGAGCAGGTGAGCGGTTGCACCACCCAGCGACTCCTGACCCTCCAATAGGACCCCTCAGTGGCGTCCTCCTTCCTCCTGCGGTTCAGCTATTTGTAGTCGGGCAGGAAACACCAAGATGGCTGGGGCTCAGGTAGGACTGAGGTGGAAGAACAGCACAAGCCAAAACCTGTTACCATGAAACAATGACGTACCGAACCACAGCAAGAGGCCCAGTGGATAATATAAATATATTTTGGAAGCTGCCTGTGTACTCCCCGTGAAGAACCAGCACAGAGGTGCCCTCCCCCAACCCAGCACCCTATCTTCTCCCCAGAGAGCACCCCACCCTCTCTGTCGCTTTCTAGGCTTCAGGACAAGGGTCAAGAGAGGTCTCCAGGGAGATAAGGGGAGAAGTGTCTGGGGGATAGGTGGCCTCTGGTCTCGGTGGGGGTGGGGTGGAGGAGTGGAGGCCTTATCTGCAGCCTGGGGCCTCGGGCCTTCCTCTGGGACCAAGGAGGTGGAAATACAGGGAACCCACACCCTCTCCTGAGCCCCTACCGTCCACCCCGGACCCACTCAACTCCTACAGTGCCTACGAAAACACAGTGGCATGAGAGAATGGACTCCCCCCTCCTCCAGGCCCTGTGGGAGGTGAAGGGTCAGAATGAGGGGAGGGAGGGAGGAGTAACTGCCCAGTGGCGCCTCCTCTGACACCCCGGCCCCTCCCCACCCCTGCTCTGGCTACAGTCAGGAAGAGGTGAAAGGGCACTGCAGCCCACTGAAAGGGAGGAGAGGGAGCTGGTCCTCCCCACATCCTCACAGCCTGTTCAGTCCCTCCACCGAGCAGCAGGGTGGGCTACAACATGCATCCCAGCAGCTCCACACGCAGGGTGATGCGGTTGTGCCAGGCGACGGGCAGCACACGGATAAAGCGGGCCTTGAAGGGCGTCTCAAACATGTTCTTCTTGTGCGAGTTGTTGTCCGAGTTGCCGCGGAAGATCTGGAAGCAGTAGGGGCATTAGGAGGCCCCAGGTAGGCCCCTGGGCACCCAGGAGTAGCAAGGGGAGGGCAGCAAGACAGAGAGACACTTACCCTGCTGTCTACAGCCCCATGCTCCTTGTACTCAGTCCAGTTCACACCGTCGTCGCTGTAGGCCACTTTGTAGGCTGCCACATACTGGATATAGCCAAAGTCGCGGGCCCCCTGGGTGATGATGCCTGTCACCTGCCTCCGGGAACCCAGGTCAATCTACAAGAGACCAATTTCTTTCCCTGGACCATCTCCATTAAGGTGGAAAGGGGCAGACACATTGGGGCTTGAATCCCAGCTACTTCACTTGGCTGAGCCTCAGTTTTCTCATCTCTAAAAAGGGCATAAATAACACCTCCGACTCTGCCAGTCATGGTGCTAGGCACTTCACTGCAGGTAAGGCTCAGATTTCAGAGACTGGGCCCTTGCCAACCCCTGCTCCCCCCCGCCCACCTCAAACCTGCACTAAGGTATGATGGGAACACCGTCAGGAGACGCCACAAACCTATAGTGGAAGTAACTGCTGTAGAGGCCCCCTGCAGGGCTGTCCCAAGCCTTACACTGGTGCTGAGGGAGCCCAAAGGCAGGTAGCTCACAGAACCCAACTCTGCAGTGGGCTCCTGGGGGCCTAGAGACAGACCTCCCACCCCCAACCTCAGTCACTGACGTCCCTTACCACCATGGGAAGCCTGCCAGCTGCCCCCGCACAGACAGTCCCAAGATCCAGGTTCCAAACCCAACTCACTGCCAACCAGCACGTAAGCCCCAGGCAACTCCTAATCCTGCTGGGCCTCATTTTCCTCATCTATAAAACAAGTTTTCCACTACTCTTGTGTGTGTCCAGTTTCAACCAAATCCAAGGGCTGTCTTACTTCTGATACTCAACACTGCGTCAGAACATCTGCTCTTTGCTCAGGCAGAAGCCCTGAGACGCCTGGGCCAGGTTTCCCTCTTCCACCCCATCCTGCTGGTCTTGGGCTGAGCCTTCTCAACCTTAGGGCAACTAATGGAGGTGGCTGTACCCCTAACCACACACACACACTCTCTCTCTCCCCAGCTCAGAGCCCTGGCGGAAACAGCACTGCGCCCTCACCTCACTCCCTCTGGTTACAGGATCAGGAGAAACGTGGGGCACGTGGGAGGAAGAAAGAGGAAAGTCAGAGAAAAACAACGCTTTTCAGAAACCCTCTTAGTGAGCAGAAGCCTGGGCCGGGCAAAGGTCAAAGGTTGGCAGCCCCAGCAGACCTCAGTCCTCGACCCCAGCCCTACATCCCGGAGGGCCTGGCCCCACCTGCAGCCACTCAGAGGCACTGTTCCTCTCGGCTGTCCAGGCGTTGAACTTGCCCTGCATGTCCAGGCGCGCGTAGGAGGGACGCCAGCTGAAGGCATTCAGGCCGAAGGTCTTGAAGACACTGGAGGCCGTGATCTGCTGGTCGCGGATGGTGTTGTTCTTCAGGCCCAGGGGATCAGAGCATCCTGCTAGCAAGAGGAGGTGTCACTAGACCTTGGGATACACAGGCTCCCCAGGGTGCGAGCACAGGGCATGAAAGGGAAGGAGCTCTGTGTCCTGATCAGCCTCTGGCATCCTCTGGGACAATAGAAAGACGCTCCCACCACCTCTCACAGCCAATGGTTCTGCCTGTCCCACCAACTCCCTCTGTCCTCTCCTCACCTCAGCCAATGGTCTCAGCTCCCACCCCTAACAGGCCTCTCACAGATCACCCAAAACTTCTCACTCACCACTCTTCTCCCTCAGCATCAAGGCAGCCCCTGCTCCACCACCTCCCACCTTCCTTCAAGGCTTGACTTATAAGACACCTCCTCCGGGAAGCTTGTCCTGATCACCTCACTTGGCCAGGACTTCTCCCTCCTCTCGACTCAGCACTTCCTCTATGGTGCAGTTGTGTTTATACTGCTGCATCTGGAATTGTCGTTAAGAACTTTAATAGCAAGCCAAAACCAAACCCATTGCTGTTGAGTGATTCTGACTCATGGTGACCCCATGTGTTACAGGGTGGAACTGAGCTCCACAGGATTTTCAATGGTTGTAATCTTTTTTTTTTTCCCATACAAAAATTTATATGTACATTGTTATGTGACTCTAATTGGTCTCCCCATACTGTGACAGCACACCCCTCCTATCCACCCCTGATTCCCCATGTCCATTCAACCAGCTCCTAACCCTCTCTGCCTTCCCATCTCACCTCCAGACAGAAGCTGCCCGTTTAGTCTCTTGTATCTACTTGGGCTAAGAGGCACACTCCTCATTAGTATCACTTCAAGTCCCACAGTCCAGTCCAATC